AAAAATATATAATATTCTGGATTTGATTTATTCTGATGTTCATGGTCCTATCGAGATGGAGTCCTTAGGTGGCAACAAGTATTTTGTCACATTCATTGATGATGCATCACGAAAGATGTAGGTTTTTATATTAAGGATAAAGGATCAAGTGTTTATAATCTTCCAACAGTTTCATATCATGGTAGAGAGACAGACAGGCAAGAAGTTAAAATGTCTACATATTGATAAAGGAGGAGAGTGCAGTTTCATTAAGTTCAAGGGCTATCGTCCAAGCATGGTATTCAGCATCAAAGGATAGAGCTTGTAACATCGTAGCACAATAGAATTGCAGAGAGGTATATGAAGAAAATGGAGAAAGTCAGATGCATATTCAAGATGTCGAACTTACCAAAGAGCTTCCGAGTTGTAGTTGTTTGCACTGCATGCTACATAATCAAAAAGTCTCATTTAGTTTCTCTGGGTTTTGATATTTTAAAAAGAGTTTAATATAGAAAATATGTTCTCTACTCTCATCTAAAGGTGTTCGGTCATAAGGCGTTTGCACATGTTCCAAAGGAGCGGAGATAGAAATTTGACGATAGGCGGTTCCTTACATCTTCTTTGTTATGGAGAAGATGATTTTGACTACAAGCTATGTGATTCAGATAAGAGAAGAATTATTAGGCAAGTAGATGTGGTCTTTCATGAGGACCAGACTATTACAGATCTTGGGAGAGCAGAGCAGTCATATAGTGTTACTAGCGAGATTTTAGTTATGGCACTCATTCTATCTTAAGACCAGTTGCATCCTAAAGATACAGAGCAGATACGTGATGATAGTGTTAATAGTGACAGTCATATACCAAAGTAGGTAGATAGTGATAACGATGACGAGCAAGAGACTCTTCAGCCAGGGAGAATCATTAGCAACAGAAGATAGCAGAGCTACGGGTTTGGAGATCAGCTGGAGGGCATAGACTATCCTCAAGATATTCTCCCTCAGAGTATTATTTATTGATAGAAATCTAGAGGCAAAGAGCTTTCAAGAGGCGCAGACTCATAAAGATAAGGACATATGGTTCTGAACTATGCAGGAAGATGAATTATCTCTAAAAGAACGATATTTATGAGTTAGTGGAGTTGCTGAAGGACAGAAAATCTTTGAAACAAGTGGTTTTCAAGTTGAAGAAGGATAGCTACAAAGAGATATAGAAATACAAAGCTAGATTAATGGTGAGAAGCTTTGAGAAAAATAAGGGCATTGACTTCGATAAGATTTTCTCACCGGTTATGGAGATAACATCCATTAGAGTGCTATTTAGCAGCTAGTCTAGACCTCGAGATTGAGCAGCCTGGTGTGAAGACTGTATTCCTTCATAGCAATTTGGAGGAGATCTACATTGAGCAGCCATAGAGTATTGAAGTAAAGGGAAAAAAAACACCTGGTTTGCAGGTCGAAGAAGAGTTTCTATAGTTTAGAATAGGTACCCAGGCACTAATACAAGAAATTTACTCTTTCATGTTGAGTGTTGGCTACCAGAGGATAGTTGTAAAATCTTGTGTATATTTTAGGAGATTTTCGTATTCTAGCTTCATAATACTTTTGCTTTATGTGGACAGCATGCTGATTATTGGTCAGTCAATCAGATAATTAGTTGGCTAAAAGAGGAGTTATTTAAGTTTTTCACATGAAGGATTTGGCTTCGGCACAGCGGATTCTTAGTATGGAGATTGCTCGTGACAAGAAAGCTAGAAAATTATAGTTATCACAGGAGAAATTTGCTAAACGGCTGCTTAATAAATTCAATATTAAATGTGCCAAAGCAATCAATACTCCTCTTGTCAGTCACTCGAACTTCATGAAGAAGTCATGTCCTACTACAAATGAAAAAAAAGTAAGATGGAACATATTCCTTACTCTTCAGTTGTAGGGAGTTTGATGTGTGCTATAATTTGCACTCGGCCAGATATAGCTCATACAATTGGCGATGTGAGCATGTTTCTTTCTAATCTAGGAAGCGTACACTAGGAAGGTGTAAAGTGGATCTCAAAACATTTGAAAGATAATTTTAGATTACGTTTGAATTTCAAAGGTTCTAAGTCAGTACTATAAGGTTTTGCGGATGATGATATGGCAGGTGATCCCAATCATAAGATGTCTATATCAGGTTGGTTGTTTACTTTTGCAGGGGGTTGTATATTGGCAGTTTAGGTTGTAGTATGTGTTGATATGTCTACAATAGAGGCGGAAGCTATTGCAGCTGCAAAAGTCAGTAAAGAGATAGTTTTGTTGAGAAGATTTTTGTAGGAGTTAGACTTGCAGTAGAATGAGTATTAGGTTTTCATTAATAGTCAAGAGTGCTCTTGATTTGAGCGAAAATTCTACATTCCTCTCCAAGACAAAACACATCATATGAGATATCATTGGCTTAGAGAAGCTGTTGATAAAGAGGAGGTAAAGCTATAGAAGATTCATACTGATGAGAAACAAGTAGTTTTTTTGACCATTTCTAAAGAGAAGATTGAGTTGTGTTGGCAATTGGTCGACACTGATTCCCAGTGAGGAGTAACAAACTAGCATACCCCTCTTGTTGAGCTAGAGGGGGAGATGTTCCAAATTAGGGCTCACATAAGTTCCATGTGATTGAGTCCTTTTTGAAGAAGTATTTCTAAGTCTATATGAAATAGATGAGGACTTGGAGGTCCTAGGGATAATATCCGTTAATAAAAAGAAAATTTGATTCGTGAAACCATGTAGAGCACAAAATAAAAAATAAAAAGCAGAAATTGCTCTGTATGCATATGGGGGGAGCGGGGGTTATAATTTCAAATTGCTCTGTTTTTCGATTGTAGTAAATTCAGATGCCCACTTCTTCAAAATGATGACGCCGTCAAGGATATGGTGTTGGTTTCCCCATAGGTGTTGGGGATTTGTATTGAGACGGTGTTTAGAATTTTGGTGTCTGTATTTTCTCCTGTGGTTCAATCCTTAAGTTTGGATGTAGCGTTCAAGACTTGTACTCTTGATTCATAGTAGAATATTTCTCTTCGGATTGCCCAATGGATGTAAGCACAATTTGCCGACCCACGTTAAATCTTAATCTTTGGTTATGTGTGATATTATTGTTGGTGCCATTTTTTCTTGTGTTTTATTCCGTAGATAAACTTCATAAAATCCTAATAGATGCCACCATTATCCAGAAATTATTATTGTATTAAAAACCACTATTATGAAAATCGCTTTTGGAATAGTGAAAATCCTAGATGGCCTCATCTTACCCCTTTAAATAGAAGTAGACCCAAGATCACTCTGATCATCAATGTTGAACCCTCCAAAAATACCCAAATACTTTAAAAATCTTGAGGGGTCTTCTCTAGATCTCGTTTTCTGTCCATGGAAAGGACAATAATCTAAAGCTGGGAACCCTACAACTAGGAATTAAGTCGCAAGAGAATCCTAAAATTGGGTAGTGATTTCTAAATCAAAGTTTAGTTTCCATTTTTATACTTAGTTTATTACACTACAAAAAAAAATTATTCTAAACTTGTGTTTTTTTTTCCGGAATTTTGGATTTATTATGGATGATCAAGTATTTTTACACGTAGATGGGGATGTGATCAGCGCCTTCATGTTCGTGGCTTGACATCTCTCAGGTCGCGAGCACAACTTCGGTTAATTTGTTTTTGAGTTCATTTTCAATTACATGCAAAGAAATTATATATACAACCCAACACTGAGCTCTAGCTTCTTCCCAAGACCCCAAGACCAAATCCTGGAGGGGAGCATATGGTAAAAATCGAGAAAAATATTCTGTATTTAGGATGTGTAATTATCTCGCTCCGCGACGTGCATGCCTAGTTAATTGCATCTATATATAGTTGTTGGTTAGGTTCCAATTCCATGAACACGAATTTAGAACATACGTCGCATGAACACATGACAATTTATCAAAAATGCAGAATATAAGAGCATGACAGTAGGACGATATCTAGAATTTCGTAGTAGGGTCAGAAAAAAAAAAAATTAGTCCAAGAAGTGTATGATAACCGCTCTAAACTAAAACGTACATAATTAAGGGTCATAGGTCCAACATAAGTTTTAACATGTCTCGTAGCCATCAATCATGTTATCAGATCTTGAATGCTCAGTTAGTCGTCGTGTTATGAGATCTCGAGTACTAGGGATGCTCGTAATCGATTAGTTGCTGAAGATTATCTGAGCATTATCTGCTAAGTTTCAGCTTCCTTGGGTACACAAGGAGTTGAAAAGAACGAAATTTGGAGGATAGTAAACCCAGACAACATCCTGTGGCTGAAGTCGCAGATAATGTTTTCACGAAGCTACAGGATGTGGTGTGTTTTCTACGAGAATCTGCTAAGGTCACGACGAGAATCGTGCAGTTCAGAAGAATCTTAACAGCCCTGCGATCTTCGCAATTGCAGAGGTAAGTAGACAGTGAAGGATGATCTGTACAGACCGACCAGCTTGGCAAACTGATGCATGCAATTACCATCTTGTAATCAGGTCAAGACGAGATCAGATATCGTCGAAATAATTCCAAAAAGAGGTGCAAGTATCCTATCCTTTATGAGGCAAAGTTGCACAGTTACAGAACCCCAGAATCTCTTTGATTATTCTTCTTACAAAAAACGAAGGAAGGGGGTGGCAGGAGATAACCAGGTCCTCAGCTCTCAAGGATATGAACATACATATGATAGTGAACTCTAAACCTCCCTCGGTTCATTTGTCAAGTTAAGCTAAATCTACAGTGGTTCAGAGGAAAGGAACACTTAATCTTGATTCTAAACTCTATGCTAAGAAAAGTGAAGTAGTTAAAGATACACTCCAAAGCAAGCATCATGACATCCACAGGACCACCTCATGCCACCGTATCGAAACAGTCAAACAAAAGGCAAAAACTAAGGGAAAGGGCTGCATCAAAAATAGCGGAAGCACGCAGCTAAAGTTGGAGAAAGATTTGTTTAAGTAAAGAAAAGCTTCTATCACCATCCAGGTATGCATAATTTATTGCACAACAGCGGCTGAGCTAGTAGTACATGATGATGAGAGGTTGCTTTAGTTCTTATTCGATGCACATCGCCAATTGAGTGGCACAATCATTAAAAAGACTTTTGGGGTACTAGAGGACCTATTGAAATAGAAGCTTACCTCAACAACAGCACAGTCCCTTCTGCCTCTGGGATGGACGACTCATTGATCATTTACGTCGTTGCGTCCATGGTTACGGTCATGGCCATCAGTTGTTGGAGGAGACGGTGCCAGAAATCACTAGCCCCGGTTCCGTCAGGGTCTCTTGGATGGCCTCTCATCGGCGAGACCATCAAATTCGTGGCTTGTGCCTACTCTTCTCGCCCTGAGAGCTTCATGGAAAAACGTCAATGTTTGTACGTATTACAACAAAAACAAGAAAGCCTTGACCCAAACTTTTGGGTTCGCCTGCATGAATCGTGGTCTTCCATTGAATTCTGTTGAGACTTATCTCCTCCATTATTGATACATGCTTCTTAATTGCAATGCACGTCGAACGATTATAGCTATAGAATATAAGGTCGTAATGTCCTAGATATGTGCTGCGTCAGCGTCACACCACCCAGAAGTGGAGGGACACACCAACCCCTATTTATTCATATATGTATATGTATTATGATTACAAAATGCTAAAATCAATTAAATTCGTGTGGAAAACAACAAAAGGTATAACATGGGTATTGTACTCAACATGTAGGTACGGTAAAGTATTCAAGTCACACCTTTTCGGCAAGCCAACTATTGTTTCCACAGATCCAGAGGTCAGCAAGTTCATTCTGCAAAGCGTTTCTGAAGATTTTGTGCCATTCTTCCCGGGCTCGCTCACTGAGCTGGTGGGCAAGTCTTCCATCCTAGTGATCAATGGGAGCCTGCAAAGGAGAGTTCATGGACTAATTGGATCCTTCTTCAAATCTCCAATCCTAAAAGCTCACATCACTGCGGACATGCAGAGGGACTTGCAAGAGATTATGGCTAGTTGGAGGGATGACCAGATTGTCTACATCCAAGAGGAAGCCAAATATGTAAGTTTATATTTGGGTCATTTCACAAAAATAACATGAACTTTGAGGGGTTTTGTAAAAAAAGTTATTAGAGAAAACTACCATTTTTTTACCCTAAACTATCATGTAGGGCAGGCAGTTAGGATGTGCCATGTTGAATAATTTACATGTAAGAATAATTTTGTCCTTATGTACTTTATATGTCTTCATATATTATTCTTATGGACTTTGTGGATAGATACATACAAACGAGTATAGTTCAGATATTTTACTCAGACATAAAGGCCTTCGTAACAATCATTGTTGCGTAATTCCCTGGAACCCCCTAGAACAGTTGTACAGTTCCTACGAAACGATTCCCCGTACATTTGCGAATTGATTCCCCCTGGTACTTAAATCGGTTCCCTAAAATTGACGTACGGCTTGCAAGTATGCAGGGCACAAAGTCCCTTGATGTGCACATGAGCGAGGCGGAATTCATTGTGCACAATCGAATGAAACAAGGCGCAGACCGCACATATAAATTTCATGAGTCTTCATATAAAATGATGTTAACAATCATAACTTATGACTCAATATAGATAATATCAACGACCAAAACACACAAAGTTTTCCCATAAAACATGAAATGAAACTATCGTCCAAACATGAACCATGTGAAAAGTAAAACAGAACAAAAATGAAACAAACTCCAAAAAAACAAATTTACGAAGTTTATCCTTATAAAGGAGGATATGTTGATCCCAATGATGATAATTTAGGAGGATATATTGGTCCCAATGATGATAATTTGGAGGACTCTTCCAGTAAATTGGAGATTAGATGAAATCGTTTGGAGTCAGAATTTGCTGAAGATGCACTTGATGCTGAGGGGAAGAAAATTGGAAGGAGGAAAAAGATATATTAAGGGGCTTAGTCTATAATTTATATGTTTTCTGTCTTATGTATTCAGAAACATTGAAATGAATCATTTGAAGTTTTTTGTATGAGAAAACATTGAAATGTACAATTAGCTTTTCTAGTTTCTAGCTTTCTACTATACATTTTGGAAAATGGTAAGCGCGCCCAAAAAAAGTTTACAACGTATCATGTATTCAAGTTGTGTACTCTAGAATTCAAAAATTTTAGGTGGTGAATTGCATACCGAATTCGTACCACAGCCCGCTATGATCCTAAAAGAGTTTTGGTATCTCAACAGATGGTGTTTCAGATAATGGTGAAAACCTTGATCGGTTTAGGCCCGGGGGAGCATTTGCAGTTCCTAAGGCATCAGTATCAGAAATTTGTTGCAGGAATCATTTCCATACCTGTGAAAATACCTGGGACTAGATTCTATAGATCACTGCAGGTAAAATCCGACTCCATTGTACAAATTTCCTATGATGTCATGTTGATAATTACAGTTTTCTGACTAAATGGATAATTTGATGCAGGCAAAGAAGAGAATGATGAAGCTTGTAAAATACATCATCCAGGAGAAGAAAAAGAACAACACCGGATGCATTTCAAGAGACATCATAGATGCGTTTCTCAACGATGGGAGCGGTCAACTAACTGATGATCTGATTCTCGACAACGTGATTGATTTGATGATACCAGCTGAGGACTCCGTACCAGTACTTATTACTCTAGCGATAAAATACCTCAGCGACTGCCCACTTGTTCTCCAAAAATTGAAGGTATCACAGAAACTAAACAGAATACGCTTGTAAGTTTTGCTTTGGATAAAAGTGGTCCCATATAGCAATCATGCAATTGTATGTAGCATATCATATGGTAAGTAGTTAATAGCCTTTTGAAAAACCGCAGGAAGAGAACACGAAGCTGAAGCATAAGTCCCTTGAAGGTGAAGATTTGCAATGGATGGACTACATGTCATTGTCATTTACACAAAATGTAAGTTCGACAGAGTATAAACCATAGCGGATCACAGATTCTATTACATGATGATATCACATTGTTTATATTTCTGTAACAGGTTATATCAGAAACACTACGAATGGGGAACATAATTCCTGCAGTCATGAGGAAAGCCATCAAAGATGTGGAGGTAAAAGATCACTTCATACCTGAGGGTTGGTGCGTGCTCCCCTATTTCAGATCTGTTCACCTGGACAAGGAAATCTATGACGATGCTTACAAGTTCAATCCATGGAGATGGAAAGTAAGATAAAAAGTACCATACCTATTGCTAATTAGCGACTTTAATACTGCTTTGGTTCCGACTTATTTCTGAGACCTCGACAGGATAAGGACACAGCTGCATCAAGCTTTACACCATTTGGAGGTGGACAGAGACTTTGCCCGGGAATTGATCTCTCAAGGCTAATAGCCTCCATTTTCCTCCACCACCTGGTCACTGGCTTCACGTAAGTGAACTCAATTAGCAATGTTTGGGAAACTGACTTGGTCACGGAGAGGGATGGATAGAAACATAGACTTGTATGATAAGGTGAAGGGAATACAAATGCAGAACCTAGCAATGTGGGACTAAACTAACTAAACACTAAACTAATAACCTCTGGCTCTGATTTCAGATGCCACAACTATTCATCATATATAGAATTGAATCCATTTCACTGAAGTGTAGACACGTTAACAATATAAGAAAATCAAACTAATATGCACAAGCTATATGTATATATAGTCTGATTACCAAGAGCCTGTTGAATGGCTGAAAGATTACTTTGGAACATCACGGACACCACGCATCAACTTCGCGCTGATGTTTAAGTTGTCAATATCTTCTGATCCTTTAGGAACGACAATTCTCAAGCCGGTCTCCCTGTAATTCAAATATTCTATTCGCCTATATTTTTGGTAAATGCTTCTATATTGTGAATTACACCTTCATCACCTTGTTACACCTTCATCACCTTGTTAGAACTAGCCATCTAAGATGTTAGGCATAAATTTAGAAATGTCTAACTGACCTAGGACCATGAGATTCCCTTCATAATTCAACTTTAGGAAGGCTTCTAAGCATGTTGATGTATTTGCATGTGCTTTTGCAATAATGATCCTATGATTTTCGCTGCAGGTGGGTTGCAGAGGAGGACCACATGGTAAACTTTCCCACTGTAAGAATGCAAAGAAACATGCCTATTAAAGTAAAGCGGAAGAATATCGATATTCTTCTCAGTTGATGCGTAGAAAGATACTCAAGTCCAGCCTCGCAAACAGAATAGCTGTTGTAAGTATGTCCGCAACATCCACAAAGCAAAGCAAGAATAGCATATGACATACAATGTCATATAGCTGCTAAAGATTGAGTGTATAGTAAAGAATGCTATTATAGTGAACAGTCACTTCAAAAGTTCTATTATATCGAATAACCGCTGAAAGAACTCTTTCACCCTTTTCCAATATTGCAATCATTTTCTATAGACTCGAGCTGTAGGGTAAGTTTCAGAGCAACAAGAGATGAAATCTAACCAACCTCCAAATAGGATTGTTCGACCTAGAGTGCTCTCCACATAAATCCCTGGTGACCTCCAAAATTTTACAGCTACAGCATGAAGAACAAAGAGCATACCTAGAGAGAGACCTCTTAAGGTTTAACAACCTGCAGCAACATTTGGAGTTATTCTTAAAGTGGAGAAATTCTCAAGATGGTGAAAAATGGTTTGTAACTCCAAATAGTTTAAGAATCAAGTTATGCAAAAACAGGACCAATCATAATTATAGAACATGTGAAACATACAATTAACAAAGCACTTTAAGAGTTAAAAAACTGTTTCGGTACAAATATTCAAAACAAATAACAAGCAGCAGTTTCAAAAGATCATAAGACAAGCAACTAATTATAGAACATGCTTTTTATTATATATACAATTATAAACAGCATATGAATTAATTGATTTACAAATCATTGATTGCACATAGTGTAGGGGCCTATGATAATATTACATAAAACTTGTTCAATTTCTACAGTAGAACTGTAAAATGATGTCAATAGAACTGTAGAATGATGTCATACAAGAATCGGTGGCTCCCATATGAAAACATGAAAGGTTATGATAGCTAGCTATGAACTGCCTCGCCCCAAATGCATAAAGTTGAAGGATGAATGGGCATGATTGAACCCTTTTCCCAAAGACTCAGGATAAATCAGGCTCGCCACAGAATGCATCAGGTTCAAATAACCTTGCAGATTCATCTTTATAAGCTCCAGCTATTGCTCGCCCCCCAGAATCCTCTGATGAATCCCTTAGGTTCTCAATGTTAATGAAAAGAATAGCACATGTGACAAGAGCCACTGCCAGACCAATTAATGTTATCTTAACTCGGTTTAAGACAGGCTTTACCTGAAGTTTAAGAAGAAAAAGACTAAGATATGGTGTTGATACTTACTGAAAAATACACAAGGAAAAATATTAGTACAATCATTCTCATGAATAACATTCTGCATCATACAGTAAAGCAATATTGAGCAAAACGTACAAGAACAGTTCGAAAGAGTGCATTGCCATTAGTTGAGCAACAAGTATTTCTAGATATACTTCACATATACAGGACTTAAGACCAGTGTTTTAAATATCGGCCGCCATGTCGGACATGGCGGCCGTACAAGAACAGTTCGAAAGAGTGCATTGCCATTAGTTGAGCAACAAGTATTTCTAGATATACTTCACATATACAGGACTTAAGACCAGTGTTTTAAATATCGGCCGCCATGTCGGACATGACGGCCGATATTGCGGATTCGGAGCCTAGCCGCCACGAAATTGTTGAATTTAATGCGTATGGCGTTTTTGAGGTCATGTCGGGGACATGTCGGAAAATAGCGGATATATCGGGCGACATTTCGGCCATCAAATATCGGCCAAAATTCAGAAATATCGGTTTCACATTGACATGTTGAAATCTCCACTACCCATATGGGTGCTTGTTGTAGGTTTTAATTACTTGTTATTGCATGTGTTTTCTTTATAATGGAAAGCTATAAGAACACATGAATTTATTTGTATTAGGTGCACATATACTTCGGTTTTACTAGTTTCTTGTTTGGAGAAATGACAGATATATAATAAAAATCCTGTAATTGTTAGTCGATGCAGTTAAGTAGTTTAGAATAGCAATTACGAGTTTAATTTTTAATTTCAGTAGAATTTTCTTTTTGTTCCTACTAGTATAATGCACGCGCTTTGTATGTGAAATTTTTTTTGTAATCTTTTTCTTTGAGTGTAAAATTATGAAGTGACTTTTATAATAACATAAATTCTTAAATTGAACAATTAATAAATCTTTACATTAATAAATAAAGTTGTGTATAAAGAATTGTATTAGTAATTTTTATATTCTGGATAATTATTATACTTTAATAAGAATTGTCTAAACATATGCAGTTAAGCTGTTCTAGTGTCTATTTGGTTTTCTATGCAAAAGCAAAAACTTGGTGGTTGCTTGTGAAAATGAAGACCTTCTCATATGTACTTTTTCATATGTTTAGACAATATAATTATCAAGTATGTGAAGATTCCATTTATGATATTATATCAACCTATCCGATATGACAATCCGATATTTTTTTCATGTCCCCCGATATATCCCCGATTAGCAGTGTTTTAAATATCGGCCGCCATGTCGGACATGACGGCCGATATTGCGGATTCGGAGCCTAGCCGCCACGAAATTGTTGAATTTAATGCGTATGGCGTTTTTGAGGTCATGTCGGGGACATGTCGGAAAATAGCGGATATATCGGGCGACATTTCGGCCATCAAATATCGGCCAAAATTCAGAAATATCGGTTTCACATTGACATGTTGAAATCATATGATTTGCAATATCTTTCACCTTCTATTTATGTAAAGTTTCACATTGTTTCCCATCCACTACCCATATGGGTGCTTGTTGTAGGTTTTAATTACTTGTTATTGCATGTGTTTTCTTTATAATGGAAGGCTATAAGAACACATGAATTTATTTGTATTAGGTGCACATATACTTCGGTTTTACTAGTTTCTTGTTTGGAGAAATGACAGATATATAATAAAAATCCTGCAATTGTTAGTCGATGCAGTTAAGTAGTTTAGAATAGCAATTACGAGTTTAATTTTCAATTTCAGTAGAATTTTTTTTTTGTTCCTACTAGTATAATGCACGCGCTTTGTATGTGAACATTTTTTTTTGTAATCTTTTTCTTTGAGTGTAAAATTATGAAGTGACTTTTATAATAACATAAATTCTTAAATTGAACAATTAATAAATCTTTACATTAATAAATAAAGTTGTGTACAAAGAATTGTATTAGTAATTTTTATATTCTGGATAATTATTATACTTTAATAAGAATTGTCTAAACATATGCAGTTAAGCTGTTCTAGTGTCTATTTGGTTTTCTATGCAAAAGCAAAAACTTGGTGGTTGCTTGTGAAAATGAAGACCTTCTCATATGTACTTTTTCATATGTTTAGACAATATAATTATCAAGTATGTGAAGATTCCATTTATGATATTATATCAACCTATCCGATATGGCAATCCGATATTTTTTTCATGTCCCCCGATATATCCCCGATTTCCGCTATCCGACATGAATTTTGGCCGAGCGACATGAACCCGACATCCGATATTTAAAACCTTGCTTAAGACATCATGTTTGCTTAATAGCGAGGACTTTTGAATGTACCAATTTTAGATTGTGGAATATTGAAGCATGTGGCTACCAACCTAATTTATAGTTTAGACCACTTAACAGAGCGATGCTCTCTTGATTCACAGTTAAGATTTTTTGTGTTCTACTCAGTCTGCTTTTTCTCTCTGTGCGCAAAAATGGAATATTGCCTCTACAGTAAATTTTATTCCCTTTTCCCTTGTAGCTTTTTTTCCAGTGGAGGGAGAAAAAAGAAATGTGTTTTCTGGTCGTGTGGGGTTTTGCTTTTTGCATCTGCTTCAAAGCATCAAGTTAAGGGCTGAACAGAGTTATATCGTGAATGAAGAGGAGATATAGTACTTAGTACATGATTAGGATCAGAGATTTAATGTGTTAACCTTTTAGAGAAAGGTGACCTTTGTTTATTATTCATGTCTCATTGTTTATTAAATCCATGTGCCACAACAACTTGGTATCTAAGCATGAAATCCAAGGAAATTGTTGATTATAGCTTGCATCCGACAAAAATAAAGGATGGCAATTCCAATAACAATAAAGGACAAGCCGGTAAAACCACATCTAGCATATAAAAGCCATATCCTATTTCATCTGTTATTTATCAGCTTATGAGAGAGAGGATGAATCATGAAACAGGGAGTTGAAACTTGGTAAGGACAAGCTATGGCTGTAAATTTGACTGTGTTGTATTTGAAGAATCCATGTAATGATTTGCGAGGCTTCTTAAGAAAATGTTAATGAGCAAAGGCCTATCAAAATCGAAGAAGGCCCAAGAACCCAAAGGTGATGTCAATCATATGTACCGCAAATTTGGACAAGGAATTCAAGATGGGCACAAAGCCAGATAAATGCCAGTTCATCGACAGTCAGAACTTGAGCTACTACTTAACATAGGGTCTTGTAATTGTACCAAAAATAAAAATATATATGTTGAGAAACTATTCTTGTAGATATCTTCAAGTGGATAGGAAACATAATTCAATACCCTTCCCAAGTTAAACAACAAACTACTCTCTTTGTTTACATAGGCAAACCGAAGAACAATGTATATTCTCCTATTTCTGGTTGTTCTGCTTCCTTTTTTTGCTATCAAGGGGTTCACTTTGACCGAATTACTATGTTGAATGAGCACAGACTGCACAAACTATAAGGTAAGTTCCCTACATGTGAACGGTGATTTTACAATTATGATAAGCCCCTCTACTCCCCCACAATATATTGGTAGTTTGGTATCAATTTAAAGAGAGGGATTAGGTTGACAGTTAAGAACTACATCAACTCTTTCAGGGGCCTTTCACTCCGTAGACAACATGATGTGATGGGAAGATGCAACAATAACGATTGTAGTGATGGTGGCAATCTTAATTGTGGTGGCGTTGCTGAAGAAAAATATTGCATTGCCCCGCCTTATAATTAATAGAAAAACTGTCAACAGAGAAAATGTTTAAGGATCAAGTCAATAGAAACTTACAGAAAATGAACCCAGAAGCCTATCACGTGCCAACACTTCTGGAGTCTTCACCCATATCTTCCAAAACAAGGGAGTATTAAGTTAGCCACAATCTTTACATATGCTTACTTCTATTTTTATAGTTCATAATATATATATTTTTTTCAATCAATTTTGCTTTGACCAATGAATGACTCTATATGATAAAAAGTTCTTGCTTGCATGGCTGATAACATGGGCTCATTACATGAAGATACAAAGCCCTTTCCAAATGATCAACTTCCCAGATAAAGCTTCAACTGAATTAAAGTGACATCGGGTTGATTTTCAATAATGGACAAGATTGATAGATAATTGTACAGTGTATCAGAAAATCAACAGCAAAACACCTATATGATCTGGTATTTAATTTATAGAATAAAATAAAGACTAAAGCAAGAAAGTATCATAAACATGGCATTAGGCTATCAGCAACTCACATATTCCATAGTACTACAGTAGGGCTAGGAAAATGATGCAAATCTCTAATGAAACTTGTACTTGTTAATAGCCAAAATAACCCGCCCAATAACATCATTTTGAAATAAGAGGAACAAGAAGACGAGCAACAGGGTAATATAGTAACATTCCTTAGACATGTAATCTCTAAGGAAGGGATTTCTGTGAATCCTAAAAAGATAAAAGCTATAGTTGACTGGTACAGACCAACAAGTGTGACGGAGATCTGTAGTTTCCTTGGTATAGCTGGCTATTATATAAAATTTGTGGAAGGATTTTCCCGTAGTGCCTCACCTCTGACTCGTCTTCGGAAGGGAGTTTAATTCATTTGGTCAGATGAATGTGAGAAAAGCTTTCAAGAGCTAAAAAGTTGATTAGTGCCTACTCCAATATTTGCATTACCCTCTGGAGATATAGGCTTTGCTATCTACAGTGATGCCTCTAGAAGAGGATTGGGGTGTGTTTTTATGCAAAATGAAAAAGTCATAGCATATACTTCAAGGCAGTTAACGCTTTATGAACAGAACTATCCCACTCATGCTTCGGAATTAGCGACAGTAGTATTTGCTCTTAAGATTTTGAGACATTATTTATATGGAGTACATTGTGAAATATACATTGACCACAAGAGTTTGAAATATATATTCACTTAGAAGGAGTTGAATTAGAGGCAAAGAAGATGGTTGGAGTTTCTAAAAGATTATGACATGACCATCAATTATCACCTCGACAAGGTGATTGTTGTTGCTGATGCCTTGAGCCACAAGAATTCATGCAATTTAGCATATTTAATTACTTCCCAAAAGAAAATATTAGAGGACTTGGATCGTACTGAAATTAAAATTAAAGTCCACCGAATTGGAGTTAAATTAGCAAATATGGTGATACAACCTTCTTTGGTAGATGAGTTAAAGCAAACCAACAGAAGGATCCTCAACTGGTGAAGATAAAGAATGAGATGTGGAAGAAGGCACCTGAAGAGAATTTAAGAATGGGTCCTTGAGGTTTGGAACTAAAGTTTGTGTGCTTAATATAACAGAGATCATTGTTATCGAGGCGCGCGACCCAGACGCGCCTCGGGTGCAGGGCATTACGGGCTAGGACAATTACACCCCGCACCAGGGGCGCTACACGCACACGAGGCACGCTCGAGGAGAGCGCCTCGTGTGCGCCTCGTGCGCGCCTCGTGTGCGCTTGACACCAGCGTCATGTAATAGACTCTTTCTTCTGTTTTTTTTAAATAATTTACATATTACATGTTTACATCATATTATAGACTTTCTTGCTAGTTGCTAATCCATTCTCCATCTTTTCATGTTTAACCTATAAAAAGAAAACAGTAATTAGTAATTTAGTACACTTGTTTGCTAATTGTAACGTCCTTCTCTAATTAGCATGCTAACTAGAAAATTATGAACATGTAAATATGTAATTGTTACTTTTATTCTCCATCTTTTCATGCTAACTAGCAAATAGCAATTAAGAATGCTAACTAAAAAATTATGAACAGTCATGTTTTTTTAATCACTTAATTGTTACTTAAAAATACATATATTATATTTTAAATAAAAATACATATTTCTTATTTGTTACTTGCTTGTTTTGTTTCATAGACTTTTGCTTATGTTGGAGATTATCTTGCATTGTGATTTGTGAAAACTTATGAACTTCTCTATGTTATGCATGTTAATTAAGACTCTTTCGTGATTTAGTAGGTAAAATTACATTTCTTAGCTTTTTTATGTGACAATTTATAAACATGTTGCTTATATGCTTCTTTGTCTTATGTTGAAAATATTAGTTTGAGTTGTGCGTCTCATTTCAGTAAGGCGTGCGCATCGTTGTGCGTCTTACGCATGGTGCGCGTAAGGGACCTTTGCGCCCCGCATTACGCCTTATGCCTCGATAACAACGCCAGAGATAAAGAAGAATATTATAAAAGAGGCACACCACTCTTCGTATGATATGTATCCTGGATCAACAAAAATATATAAAAACCTGAAAGAAATCTATTGGTAGAATAACATGAAAAAGAAAATTGCCACCTATGTTGCGGAATGTTTTACTTGCCAACAAGTACAAGCTGAACACCAAAGACTAGCTGGATTAGTCCAAAACTTGGATATAATGAAGATGGGAAAAAATCACCATAGATTTCATCACTGGCCTTCCAAAATCTTTAAAAAAGAATGATGCAATATGGACAATTGTTGACCGATTGACTAAATCAACGCACTTTTTAGCTATAAATATGAAATTTTCATTTGAAAATCTGACTAAAATATACATCCATGAGATAGTGAGCTTGCATGGCATACCAAATCAGCAGTCTCTGATAAAGATCCTAGGTTCACATCAGAATATTAAGAAAGTGTACATAAAGCTGTGCAAACTAAACTAAATTTTAGCTCAACTTACCATCTACAAACAGATGGCCAATCAGAAAGCACAATTCAAATACTAAAAGATATGTTGACATGTTGTGTACTCGAAATGACAGGATGACGAGAAGATTATCTGTCTTTGGTCAAGTTTGCATATAATAACAGCTATCAAGCTAAGCTAGCATTCAGATGGTACCATATGAACTTTTTTATGGAAGGAGATGCAAGTCTCCTATTCATTAGGACGATGTTGGAGAAAGAAAACTTCTTAGACCAGAATTGGTACAACAAGCAATTGATAAGACTCATATAGTTAGGGAACGTCTTCGCATTGCACGAAGTCGTCAAGTTATGCTGATCAAAGAGTGAGAGAATTGGAATTTCAGGTTGGCAAGCATGTTTTCTTGAAAGTTTCGCCTATCCGATGAGTGAAAAGATTTAGAACCCAAGTTAAGCCCAAAATTCATTGATCCTTTTGAGATTCTGGAACGAGTTGGTCCCGTGACGTATAAATTAGCATTATTGTCATCTCTATCTAGAATACATGACGTATTTTACATATTGATGCTCCGAAAGTTCATCCGAGATCCAAATGAGATCGTTAAGTTGTCCCTAGTGGAGCTCAAGCCAGACTTGACTTATGAGAGAAACCAGAGCATATTGCAGATTATAAAAGGAACAAGTACTTAGGCGTCGAACCATCAAATATGTGAAAGTTCAATGGAAGATTCATTCAGAAAGAGAAGCTACTTACAAAATGAAAGATTCTACACGAGAGAAATATCCAGAGCTCTTTGGAGATTAATGTATGTTAAGTTTAAAGGATGAAACTTCTTATTAGGAGGGGAGTGTAGTGACCAAATACAAATTTAATTAGCCTATTTTTATCTTAAGAAGTTCATGCAAATGACAATATTAATAAGGGGGTTCTATGAAAAATGTGCCCAATCACCTCACTAATTTGGTAGCTCTCGGTCATTAGAAGAAAGTGGGGCACCGCTTCAAAGAGGTAGATACGAAGGGGAGAATAAATCTATAAAAAAAATCCAAACCAACTCACAAACTTTGTTTCTTGCAATAGTAAGTGAAATAGAAAAGGAGAGAAGGAAGAGGAGAGGAAATACCTCAATTAGCATCCAACAATCCTAAGATATAACTCCTTACTCCTTGTCCAATTAGACTTCTTAATTGATTGATGATGATATGAGTAGCTTGAATTGTGAATTGAATGCTATTGTTTGGGATCTGTATAGTTAAAAAATAATAAATAATACATACTAGCTCCAATGAGGACCTTGTCGTTGATCGCCTAGTCGCCGGCGAGGTCTCACCATCATGAGGTCACCCCAACGAGAAGCAAAGGACCGGAAAGCATGAGGGTCTACGCAGCATCAGCCGGAAAAAAAAAAGAGAACAGAAGAGGAAGAGGGATCGCAGTAAGGAAAAGGCATAGAGGAGAGAAAATGAGAAAACAAAGTTAAAATAACAAAATTTCTTTAGAACCCCTAAAAGTTTTGAGTTTGCATATAGGTCCAGAAGATAAAATGAATGAAAATTTTCATGTAGACCCCTACTGCTCTGTTAGTTACCATCAGGCCCAATAAAGTCAAACCTAGTGACGAAATTAAGCTTGAATAATCGTTTGAAACCCCCTAAAACTGTCTGAAATTGTTAATAGGTCCAAAACTAATAGAATGGTGTTATAAAAATTATGATAAATTGCTAAAATTAGCACTAAACATATGTATACACTATTTATGGATTTTAATTATTATTTGATTATATTGAATCTATTTGGCTTTAGATTATGAGGTGATTAACCTATAATGTATGTTTGCCTTAAATTAATATTAGATTTATATCTTTATATTATAAGATCTGGTTGATATCAAGAGAAGTGGCATTTTGAGGAAGTGGTATCCACCAAATGTGAGTTCATTTCTCACTAATATTTTTATAATATGAAAATACATGATTGCTACATTTGATTGATTATGTGCTCGAAATGTGAATAATCTATTATCTTCATGTATATAAAGTTAAATGTGATTCGATCTATTTCTTTTGTGGCCTAATCCATAGTATGATTTTGATTTCGTACAAGATATTAAAAGTAAATTTGATTTCACATAAAATGTGATAAGTGGTTTTGTTTCATGGGAACTCAATTAATTGTGAATAGCACTTTATTTGGAAGGTTTAAAGAAAAGAAGTATTTTGAATGTATTTCAATAGTTTAATGAATTCAAAGATTTTTCGTGACTTAGCATCTAATAAACATAGAGAAAAGTAAAATCCATAAACTGTTTTAACTGAGATGATGATATTTACGCTTGTCTGCTTGATTTAAAGTATTTATAATTTTGATAAGTGAACATGCCAATATTATTATGGTAGAAGTGATGCGTTTTTTAAATCAAGTAATTTGATGAGTGATGTGTTTTGTAAACAGGCAATTTGATAAGTGATATTTTTTGAAATCAAGTAATTTGACAAAGGATATGTTTTCGAAATCAAGCCATTTGACAAGCGATTCTCGATGTTTTCAAAACCCTCACAAAGTCCACTATGGAGTGATGTGTTTGTCTGCCATATGGTTTGAATGCACCTTTATGTGGCCCTTTTTAGGCATTTGTGACGTGACCCTTTTTCGGGTATTGTGATGTGGATAGCGGCCTATGGCAGTGTTAGGTGCATTCTGTTCCCCGAAACTATATGTTATGCGATGCTTTTGGCATTCACATGTTACCGGGCTATAATTCGTAACTTTAATGTGACCTATGAGGTGATTCTTGCATTATATGGACGACTCATCAAGATTTGAAATTCTGACATTTGATTGTGAATTTGATAATAATAATCTTTTAGTTTTGCACAAATTTAATAGTCTGTTTTCTTTCTTAATATTTACCTTGATTTCAAAAGGACCTGATTTTGTAGCATTATAGCATACTACAGTATATTCAATTGCTCATAAGAAATTTAAAATGGCGTATTCCTCTTGAAAATAACAATAGGATGTGGTTCTTGGATCGTATTTTGTTATTTTTGAAATTTTCGGTGCAAAACTTATAATTCACTATTTCTAAAAATTATTATTTTGTTAGATATCTAGGAACTCTAGTGGAAAATGCTACATGTTCTAGAGCTAGTTCCCACCATAATTACGCAATGTAGCACTTAGTCCCGAATAGCACTTAGTTTTACACTTACTATTGACTAACCGTGTTGATACAATTTGTCATACCCGAGCCTACACGCCTGTTGGCGCAGTGCAAGCCTTGGGACTCACTGAATGCAACGTGTTGTTTGACTTGTTCTAGTGCCAAAAATTTCTAGCACTTGTTACACTTGATCTTTAACCTTTACTATTTAAACTCGTCAATCTCTTTACTACTGTGGGTTCAAGGTCTTAGATAAAGTTACCAAAATCTAAAGTAAATACATAACAAGAAAAAAGATAAAATAGAAAAAAGAAGAAAAGTGTTGATCTCATATCGCTTTTTCCTCTAATAGCTTGAATTGCTTGGGTTCCAACTCATTCAACAATGTCAACGGAACAATTACCAAGAAAAAACTCCTCTTTACTAGGATCAACTCCTACTCTTGACTAAGCATGGAGATGAGGTTTTGTCAAGTATACCATACACTCCACTGAACAAAATAACTGCTAGACTTATTGGAAAATTATGCATATTGTCAGATATAAAGATTTTTATATGCATAAGCACATACTTCCATTTGTCTCATATGTATACAACATAGTTATAGCTCTTGGAACGGAAATTTTGAAATAATGACATCAAAAGTACTGTAGCATGTTTTTGTTGAACTCTTAGTTTTAAGTAGTTAAGATTAAGATGAAAACAATAAAAATATGTCATTAGTGTTAAAGTTTCCTCCCACTACAACAAAACTCCAAAGTTCACATTTTTTTCGTTCTAACTCCACTTTAAATTACTGGCTGGTCAGATTTGAACTTGTTTCTTCTAATACTATGTCGAGGACCTCATCCACTACGCGGAAACTCCAGACTTTACAGTGTGGGTTGAGATCATAAGTTTATACTCTTAACAATTATACTATCCAAACTATTCCATTCAAGCCCGCACACCAACCAAATGCATTATGAATCTTTGATCACTAAAATTTCAAAATGGAACTACTATCTCTCTTTCTTTAGAACAAACGGAACTACAAATCTTGGTATAAAAACAACTCACCTGCCCATCATACCATCCAGTCTCCTCATCTGCAACCAAATGGACGAAAAAACAATCAACCTTCACCCACTTTAAAAAAACATAAAAAAAACCCAATTTTACAGCAATACTCATCATAAAAATCACAACCCACATTCAACGGTAGCACTCAGCAACCGATTCCCGACGTAAAGGCGCCACCCAATGATACATGCCTCAGCACCGCCTAGCTGTCAAGCCGCAAGGATCCCGGTGAACGCGCGACCCCAGGGCCCAACCGGAGGCCGTCGCGCATCCGCGGCGGCGCGGGAACCGAAGGCGCGACGGGAGGAACGAGGAGGGCGAAGGCGGCGCCGAGGGAGAGCGAAGGCGATGGAAGTAGAGGGGGAGGTCGGCGGCCGCCCAGGAGAAGGGGAGGGAGGTTGCTAGGGTTTGGTACTCGTTGATTGGTTGCTGATCGAAGGGGACTGGGCACTCGGTTGAAGATGAAGAGGAGGAGGAGGCGGAGATTTTGAGGGGTTTAGGGTTAGGGTTAGGGTTTCGTTTGGTGCAGGGTTGGGAGAAAGGAGGGAGTTTTGGGGGGGTGAGAGGGGAGAGGAGGAGAGGGGAGGGTAGGGTTTTGAGGAATGGGGATGATGATGAGGACGCCATGGACGTTGCAATTTTGGAGGCTTGAGATTCTTTTCATTTCATAATTTAGTTGTAGGAGCTTAACCATTTTTTTTTGGGAAAATTGCTTGGGGGAACCAAATTAAATTGGCTCATTCATTCTCATCCTCAATCCAAGAACCATAACCCAAACACCCTTAAACCGAAAAAGGAGTGCAAGTAACCCCCAAATACTGTGTAAACCCACTGCCCAATAAATCCATTCCCAAATTACCTTTCCCCATTTAATACTCCCACGATCCCATTTCTCCTTGAGCTGACCCCAAGATCTCCCCCACCCCCCAACACGACAAGCCCTCATCCTCCGTCTCCGGCGAGGTCCGCATCATCTGCGTAGACGGCCACGGTGACGACGACGTCATCCTCGCCGACGCCGCTCTCTGTCGCACACCCTCCGTGACATCTCCGGCGATAAAAAAGCCTTGATCACCGACTTCTTCGACGTCGTCGCAGGATCCGGCGTCGGTGGAGTCCTCGACTCCATGCTGTTCACCGGAGGCCCCGACGGCCGCCCTCTCTTCTCCGCCGCCGACACCGGAGACCTCCTCTCCAAGAAACTTTAACTTTGTTTGATTTACATAGCGAAACCCTAAATTGGGCGAAAATTCTTCTATTACTCTCTCCAAATCTGTGGATTTTTCTGGATTAATTCTGCTTAAATTCATGCTTTATGATTGATACGTTATCAATTTAGCAAAACCTCAGCTCGCTTACGCGTAAAATTTCAATTTGAGATAAAGTCGGGAGAATTTAATTTTAATTTTAAGTTGATTATTCTTCCCGCTTTGATATTTTGGATGCTTTTGTGGATTTTTTTCCATTCTGCTTCAAATTTCAATGCTGGTTACGTAATGTTAACGACTCTATTGCTTGTCCTCATCTTGTAAATCTCTTGATTTGGTTGATTATATCTGTTTATTTCTATTTGGTAATTATCAATTTGGTACAGTTTGGTATTTTTTTTATTTCTCTGGCGATTTATTTGCTGTTAAAAGTCCACCAAATGTGCAATTTAGGCATTTTCCCTTGCCGCTGGCTGGCGATAGAATTGGCGTGTAAAATGCACATGATGTCACTTTATTTAAATTGAGTTATATTAGAACGTCGATGTGCCTGTGTTTAAGTGAAGTCACTTGGATTTCACCCGACAAAATTTATTATCGGCCGTGAGAAAAAAAAATTAGTTGTGAGCAATGTTTTAAGTAAGGTTCCTCTTTTTTGTTGTGTTTGTTGGTTGAATGATCTCTCTTGAATATGTGATGTTTGGGAAAATGCCTATGAGATAGAGTGATGTGTTTTTTAGTTGGGAACAATTTTTATGAATGCAAGGTGTTTGAGAAAATGTGTACGATATGGAACACCAATATGCATGTAATAGAGGAATGGTATGCTGGCAATGGAAGTAGTTGCTAAATGTTAGTGATTTCTGTTGTGGTTTCTGAAGAATGGTTTAGTGTTTGTAATTTCCTGATGTATTTTTGTTTGATGAGTTGAAATCCTTTGTAAGGATGATTTTGATCCAATTAGAGTTTAATTTGGGAGTGTTGTTATGTTTCTTAGTTATTTAATGTTAAATGGGAAAATGAGGGAACATATATGTATCACAATTAACCGTAAATATGAAAAATAAGCATATCATGTGATATTTCAATGTTATATGTGACAATTCAATCTTACATGTGACAGTTCTACCCTATATGTGATATTCAGATCTGATTTGTGATATTTGGGTGTTGTATGTGATATTTGAGTGTTGTATGTGATATTTGAGTGTTGCTTGTGACATTTGTGGTTTATACGTGACATTTGTGTGTTGGATGTGATATTTGAGTGTTGATTGTGTCATTTATTGTTTATACGTAATATTTGGTTGTTTATACGTAATATTTGGGTGTTGTATGTGATATTTGGGTGTTGTATGTGATATTTGTTATTTATACGTGATATTTGAGTGTTGTATGTGATATTTGGGTGTTGTATGTGATATTTGTGTGTTGCTTGTGATATTTGTTATTTATGCGTGATATTTGGGTGTTGTATGTGATATTTGGCTGTAATTTATGATATTTGGGTGTTGCTTGTGACATTTGCTATTTATACGTGATATTTGGATGTTGTATGTGATATTTGGTTGTAATTTGTTGATAATGAATGTGATATTAGATCTAATAGAGTCATTCCACATCCTCCGCCAAAATATCTTTTGTACTTTGGGGGTAATAATGTACCATTGATTGAGTGGAAGTATTAGACAAACACATGTAACTATAATGTGGTGATTTGAAATTGAAACCCAGTGTTGATTCTTCTTCTTCTATTTCTGCTATTGGGAAGAGGGGAATGTCTAAAAGTGGATTGTCCTGCAAATATTTTTGAGGTGTTTGAATATTTTGGATGAGTTATTGATTCCTGGGTCTTGGTGGGTAAAGAAGAATAAGGGGATGATGATGAAGGAGGATGTGGAATGACTCTATTAGATCTAAATATCACATACAACAAATTACAGTCATGTGTCACGTATAAACAAATTACAGCCATGTGACAAATAAGCACATTCACTATCAACAAATTACAGCCAAATATCACATACAACACCTAAATATCACATATAAACAGCAAATATCACAAACAACACCCAAATATCACAATTCTACCTTATATATGATATTTAGATCTGATTTGTGATATTTAGGTGTTGTATGTAATATTTGGGTGTTGTATGTGATATTTGTGTGTTGCTTGTGACATTTGTTGTTTATACATGATATTTGAGTGTTGTATGTGATATTTGGGTGTTGTTTGTGACATTTGTTGTTTATACGTGACATTTGGGTGTTGTATGTGATATTTGGGTGTTGCTTGTGACATTTGTTATTTATACGTGACATTTTGATGTTGTATGTGATATTTGGGTGTTGTATGTGATATTTGGGTGTTGCTTATATTAGAAAGACTACAAATGAAAGTTACCAAAAATGAAAGTGACCAAAAATTTTTTACATCTTGGTATTATAAATCAGAAAATTCTCATAAAATTTCACAGTCATCGGATGACTGTGAGCTCACAGTCTTTCTAATGTAAACTCATGGTCATCGGATCATATCGATGAACCTTATGAGACGATCCCAATCGAGGAATCGGAGAGGATCCCAAACGACAATAGCAAGTGACTCGCCTCCAGGAATCAATAACATGCCAAAGATAAACCAAATCAAATCCAATTATTCAAACACCTCCAAAATATTTGCAGGATAATCCACTTTTAGACATTCCCCTCTTCCCAATAGCAGAAATAGAAGAAGAAGAATCAACACTGGGTTTCAATTTCAAATCACCACATTATAGTTACATGTGTTTGTCTAATACTTCCACTCAATCAATGGTACATTATTACCCCCAAAGTACAAAAGATATTTTGGCGGAGGATGTGGAATGACTCTATTAGATCTAATATCAAATTCACTATCAACAAATTACAGCCAAATATCACATACAACATCCAAATATCACGTATAAACATCAAATATCACAAGCAACACCCAAATATCACAAATTACAGCCAAATATCACATACAACACCCAAATGTCACGCATAAACAACAAATATCACAAGCAACACACAAATATCACATACAACACCCAAATATCACATACAACACTCAAATATCACGTATAAACAACAAATATCACATACAACACCCAAATATCACATACAACACCCAAATATTATGTATAAACAACCAAATATTACGTATAAACAACAAATGTCACAATCAACACTCAAATATCACATACAACACACAAATGTCACGTATAAATCACAAATGTCACAAGCAACACTCAAATATCACATACAACACCCAAATATCACAAATCAGATCTAAATATCACATATAAGGTAGAACTGTCACATGTAAGATTGAATTGTCACATATAACATTGAAATATCACATGATATGCTTATTTGTCATATTTACGGTTAATTGTGATACATATATGTTCCCTCATTTTCCCATTTAACATTGAATAACTAAGAAACATAACAACACTCCCAAATTAAACTCTAATTGGATCAAAATCATCCTTACAAAGGATTTCAACCCATCAAACAAAAATACATCAGGAAATTACAAACACTAAACCATTCTTCAAAAACCACAACAGAAATCACTAACATTTAGCAACTACTTCCATTGCCAGCATACCATTTCTCTATTACATGCATATTGGTGTTCCATATCGTACACATTTTCTCAAACACCTTGCATTCATAAAAATTGTTCCCAACTAAAAAACACATCACTCTATCTCATAGGCATTTTCCCAAACATCACATATTCAAGAATCTCATAGGCATTTTCCCAAACATCACATATTCAAGAGAGATCATTCAACCAACAAACACAACAAAAAAAGAGGAACCTTACTTAAAACATTGCTCACAACTAAATTTTTTTTCTCACAGCCGGTAATAAATTTTGGCGGGTAAAATCCAAGTGACTTCACTTAAACACAGGCACATCGACGTTCTAATATCACTAAATTTAAATAAAGTGACATCATGTGCATTTTACACGCCAATTCTATCGCCAGCCAGCGGCAAGGGAAAATGCCTAAATTGCACATTTAGTGGACTTTTAATAGCAAATAAATCGCCGGAGAAATAAAAAAATGCCAAACTGTACCAAATTGATAATTACCAAATAGAAATAAACAGATATAATCAACCAAATCAAGAGATTTACAAGTTGAGGATAAGCAATAGAGTCGTTAACATTACGTAACCAGCATTGAAATTTGAAGCAGAATGGGAAAAAATCCACAAAAGCATCCAAAATATCAAAACGGGAAGAATAATCAACTTAAAATTAAAATTAAATTCTCCCGACTTTATCTCAAATTGAAATTTTACGCGTAAGCGAGCTGAGGTTTTGCTAAATTGATAACGTATCAATCATAAAGCATGAATTTAAGCAGAATTAATCCAGAAAAATCCACAGATTTGGAGAGAGTAATAGAAGAATTTTCGCC